TGACAGCATTTCTCTTTCCAAACAGCAGTATCTGAATCACATTACATTGGAATCCCTGTCCAATGACACACTGTTTTACTGGTTAATAGTGCTGACCTGCTCCCCCTCAGTCTAATTTCTGCTGTGCAGGGGATTGTCACAAGAAGATCATTCCAAACAGGGGCACTAGTTATATTTTTAAGAAACCAATGCAGGAAATTGATAAACTGGAGCAGGCAAAATCTGGAGCATTAGCTTATGGCAACCAATCAGCTTTTGTTTTATTTTCAAAGCTTAACCAAGCAAACTAAAAGAGATAAGTTGATTGGTTGCCACGGGCAACTGTTTAAAAATGTAAGCAGCATTTTTTAAAGAACTATGGGGTTAGGGCTTTTCCCCATGGTTCTCCTAAGGGTAACGGGAGGACACAAACTTAGCGTCCTCCCGTCACCCTAAGCTCAATATACCGCGAGCTACAGCTCACGGTATACTGAGACCGACGCAGCTGAAACGGATGCGGACAATTATGTCTGGATCCGCCCAGCTGCGTGAGTGACAGCTGGTTCTGCCTATCTAGAGACAGCTGTAGACCGCCCCCTCCCCCGTACATTCTGCCAGTCAGCGCTGGAGGATCGGAGCGGGGGAGGGGTGAATCCAGTCCCTCCCCTCTGCCGTGACAGGATCGAGAGGTGAGCGAACGCCAGTATGTGTTCGTTCACTTCTCGATCTACTGAGCCGACCTGTGACCGTCATTGTCACAGGTCGGCTAGAACTATGAGGCGAGTGAAAATCATGACCTTTTTCAGGCCTAAAATGTGGAATATAACATGGGTGCAAAAATGGAAAAAAGGGCCTCAGTCATGAAGGGGTTAAGTTATGCAACGTAAATAGGAACAAACATAGGTGTTATCCCAATTTCGCTGCAAAAGTGAAGAAGTTATAAGTCAGAGTTAAAGGTCCGAAGTGAAACCACCCACAAAAACGATGTTTTCACACATACATCCCCATTTGATGAACTAAACGGTGCTGAGTATTATCTAAGGCCCGGTTTCCAACTGGGCGTTTTTCCGCGCGTTCGTACTCGCGGAAAAACGCTCAAAACATGGAAATGCCATTATTTTCAATGTGCATGGTTCCCATTTGGGCGTTTTTCCGCGTGTACGAACGTGCGGGAAACAGCCCTACGCCCAAAGAAGTACATGTACTTCTTTGGGGCGTTTCCATTGGGATACAGCCAAGTAGCCCTCGGAAACGCGTGTTTGTCACGCGGTTTTTTTACAGCGAATCGCGGTAAAAACGCGCGATGCGAAACGCGACAAACGTGCATATTCAATACGCCTAGGTGTGAACCCAGCCCGAAGGAGGTCTTAGATTTGTTTGTGGCTTACTTATAGTCCATCTGCAACTCCCCTATGCAGAGAATGACACAGCCTCGGAGATTTCACTGCAGAATGAATAGCATAGATACCCTAATACAGGAATAAAACTTTGTTGGGGGGCTAAGAAAAATTTAATCTGCTGCGGTAATATTGGCAGACCGCATCAAACATCCATCTTTATTTTTTTGTCCATAGTTCCCTCTTACCTCCTGATCGATATTATGAAGCATAGCTGGATTGTTGTATTTTTCTGGATTATCATGAAAGCACACCATTCCATCCCTCTGATTAATACTTGCAAAGATTTCTCCATCTTCTATCTGAAACAGAGAGACACTTTTTATGAAGAATCATTACTTTAAAATAACACTAAACTAAAAAGAAGTTAATACTTACCTGTGTCTTCCCGGTGCGCTTCCGTCCAAAAATGTGAAAATTCTTGGGCGGATGCAAAGCATCTTGGGGCAATCGCATGCGCAGTTCACATTTTCGGCCGGGAGACGAGGAGAGACACACGATAAGTCTATGGACTCGTGCACCCACATGCAGACACTGTGGGACAGGAAGTGCCAGCAAGGACAGAGTAATCAGCGCTGGATCGGAGACCCGCCGCAGCGCTGGAGGGACAGATGAAAAGGATAGGAAAGAAGATTGGATTAAGAAATATAATTGAAGGTAAGTGCTTTAATATTGGGGGGAGGGAAAAAATGTTTTTAACTTTAATGTCGCTAAGTTTACAGCTGATCAAACTAGAATAATCACCAATAAGCATAATTATGGATACACTGTCATTAGGCACTAGGAGGCCGCCACCAGAAGAGGCCTAAATATCCACCTTGTAGAAGTTGGAAATTGGAAATTAACAGAAGGCAAGGCAATTACAAATCTGGGAAGATGGAGCCCACCACAGATTTAAGAGAGTGCATCGAGCCACCGAGAAATGGAACGAGAAGCAGGGTCAACCTTTGTGGGGACCATCCAAAAGGAGTCAAGTCTTTCTGAAGGAAGAAGTGTTACTCGCAGATCGATGAACCACATTCAACAATGGAGGGGAAGTCTCCATCTGATGAATTTAAGTTGGACAAAAGGATGAATGATGATTTTGAACTGGACAGAAAACATTTCCTGGTTGAGGTGGTGGGCAGAAAATCAGATCAGAAACTCCTTTCTTTCAATAGGTAACCACCACCTCCTCCTCGTGTAAGATCAAAAATGATTAAGGGTTAGTTCACACCAGAAACTGCATCACAACTGCGTGCGTCTGCGCAGTTGCATTGCGATCCGTTTTTCCCCCTGTATGATGCCACAATCAATTCTTTTTTTTTTGTATGCAGTCTGTAGCGTTTTAGTGCGTTTGCACTGCGTTTTGATGAGTTTAGTGCAGTTAGATGCAGGTAAAATAGGACAAGCAGTACTTTTTCTCACTCCAGTTGAACGGACTGCAATGGTGTGAATTAGGCACAAGAAAGCCCATAGGAAAGCATTGGGATGCATTTTAACTGCAGCAGTTGAAATAAACGGACTGCATCTCAACTGCATATGGTGTGAACTGGCCCTTACAGGATACCAAACAGATCAGACAGATGCCTTGCAGAGGTGAAAGCTACAAGAAATAGCATCTTATTACAGGCAGGAGTGAAGGGGAATATCTCTAATGGGTTCAAAGGGTGTTTTAAGAGCTGAGAGAACCAATACAGATCCCCGGTGTCACAGGTTAGGAACAGTGGGAGTCACCCTGAACAAAAGTCCTAATCTGCGAATCTGAAACAGGATAGCCAGAGCAGAGCCCTAACCCTTGATAGTGCTGAGGGACAACGTTGGTCCAAGCCCAGCTATAGAGTGAGTATTCGTCCCATGGAGAATTTCCCGGGATACAAACTGATAGACTTTGTGAGAAGTAGACTTCCTAGGTTTTAGCATTGTATGAAAACTTGATTTAGAGATGCCACTGTCTCACCCGGGCCAACCAGAGTAATGAGGATAAACTAAACCTCTTTTCAGTGAAGCAGACAATATGGGAGTTTTGGGGAAGGAAAGGCATAGATCAGGAGATTCTGATCTGACAACTCCCAGAACATACACAGGCTTCTGCTAGAGAATTCCTGTTGCTGGAGACAAACCTGTTCAGTTTTATTTTTTTAACCTGGATGTCCCACCTCTGACAATACAAGTCCCAGAATAACACCGGGTGTAGGGATCATTCCCCTGGGTGCAGACACTGCCAGCGGAGAAAGCCTGTGAACAAAACTGGAACATGAAGTTCTGCCCAGATCAGGTTCCGCTCTACTTCTCTAGCTGCAGCAAGACTTCTGGATCCTCCCTGATGGACAATGCCCTGGCATACATAAACTAACTCGAACTGGATCATACGACCCTCCAGCAGTATTGTCCTGCACTGCAGGGCTAGCCACATTGCCTGAAGTTCCAGAATGTTGTTCCGGAGATGGGATCCCTGCCAACATTCAAGTACTCTGCACTGGCAGGAAACCCAGGACTCGTCCCAAGCCCTACAGGCTGGCTTTCATCTTGAAGAAATTCCAAAACATGGGAAAGAAGGACTTAGGACCCCAGAGCTGGATTACTGGGCCACCAGGCCAGATGAATCAGACTGTCCAAGGACTGGACTGACTTGTCCCATGACAACAGAATGTTGCCTTGTAGGGGGTCTAGAGTAAAACTGGGCAAATGGGACACTAGCAAAAAACCAAGGCATGCTGATGGGCTGGCCTATAGTTTGCCAGTGTTCAATACAGGATAGCCCGAAGGTAAAGACTTCCTGTGTTCTTCAATGGATGAGGGAGAATGGATGAAATTCAATTAACAAATACCCAATTAAAAGCAACCCCGCCCCCCTTCTTTTGAGCACTGCATGAAGTGACCAGATCAGGGTTCCCAGGTTTAATGGAAACCAAACCACACATTTGAACTATAAATTAAATCACGCACGACACTTAAAAACCCCAAAGAGTCCATATCTTACCATATACAGAACATATTTTTCGGCCTCCTGAGCACCAGTTAACTGAACTCGACTAGCCATGTCTTGTAGGGAGAGGGTAAGAAACGTCTGTAGGAGAGCAAAACAAGGAGACAGATAAGACTGCAGCCGATTCAATACTTTTAAAAACACAATTTTACTCAAACTATCCTTCACTCCCACAGGCTTCCCTCTTTCCATGTGACCAGTACCTTCTAAGTTGCTTGTCTATGATGCTCCATCAGTCGCAGTTAGATTAGCATTAAACCCTTGCAGTGCATGAATCCACACTGCAAGGGCAGTTAATTTTCCCTGGAGTTCAGGTTTAATGGTCCACAAACTAGACTTAGTGGTCAACCAAACTTTTTTTTTGCCACAGTTCTCTTTAGGGTCACAGGAGGACATGTATAAATGTCCTCCTGTGACCCAAAACTCAGCATATGGAGGGCTATTGCCCACTATATGCTGACACAGCAGAGCTATGTTGCAGTTAGGAAGAATCCAGACAGTCTGGATCCACCCTGCTTCCTGAGTGGCAGCTGGCTCTGCCTCTCTAGAGCCAACGCCAGCTGTGCCCGCCCACCTTCACCTGTCCATCACTCCAGTCAGTGCTAGAAAAAGAAAGGGGAAGGGGGCAGCACCAGCTGTGTCTGCCCTGTCCATCACTCCAGTCAGTGCTAGAGAAAGAGGGAAAGGGGCAGCGCCAGCTGTGCCCACCCCCTCCCCTGTCCATCACTCCAGTCAGTGCTAGAAAAAGAGGGAAAGGGGGCAGCGCCAGCTGTGCCCACCCCCTCCCCTGTCCATCACTCCAGTCAGTGCTAGAAAAAGAGGGAAAGGGGGCAGCGCCAGCTGTGCCCACCCCCTGTCCATCACTCCAGTCAGTGCTAGAAAAAGAGGGAAAGGGGGCAGCGCCAGCTGTGCCCACCCCCTCCCCATCACTCCAGTCAGTGCTAGAAAAAGAGGGAAAGGGGGCAGCGCCAGCTGTGCCCACCCCCTCCCCATCACTCCAGTCAGTGCTAGAAAAAGAGGGAAAGGGGGCAGCGCCAGCTGTGCCCACCCCCTCCCCTGTCCATCACTCCAGTCAGTGCTAGAAAAAGAGAGGGGAAGGGGGGATCTCTGCGAGGAGTAGTGACTGACAGGGACCGTTCTCTGCAGGGAGACGATCAGGAACCGAGTGCTCAGAGGTATGCGATCGATCAGTTCCCGATCAATAGAGCTGGTGTCACAGCTTGTGTCACATGTCAGCTCCAATTATGGGAGAGAATATTAATATAGAGAAATTGATCAAACCCATATCGAAAATTTCATGTGTCATTCCCAAACAAACAGACTCATCATTAAAACTAGTGCAGAGGAAGATGGGAATACTTGAACAGCAAACAAGATATGAAAATAAAGGCAAACACATTTCCTCCTAGGGAAACAGTGGCCTCATGGTCTAGGTTGGAAAGGCTACAGACTGCAAAGTTTGTGATCTCTTACTTTGGTAAGTCTCTGAATATTTTTTTTGTACAGGGAGGACAGACACTGTTTCACCAGCCCCATGTTATTGTCTCTGGTAAATGCCTCGCCGTGTTTGTTCACCAGGTTCCGCAGCTCTGCCGGGTTGTTGGATGAATAGACCTGTGCTAGTTCATGGTAGGCATTGCTAAGAGGCTGCAGGAAAAAAATAAAATAAATAAATATCAGTGAAAATATCCATCATCTGTGAACAGCACTTAAAAAGCTCCCAAACCAGCATTTCTGGGGTGCATGTTAACATTCACAGCCAAAAATAAAATGCCACATGCAAGACCTCACCTTAATAAATCTACCGACGATCTGCGAGGTATATTTAGGCAGCGGCTGAACTTTCCCTAGAAGTATCAAAGAAACTAGGATATACTTTTTATAAGATTCCAACATGATGTGACTGACTGCCATGGCCGGCGTTGTGATTGCCTAGAGAGGAGAACAGACAAATCAAGCAAGTTAGAAAATTTGTGTTTTATGAACATGTGCTAAAAAGAGAAACTGTTCAGATTAACAGCAATAAAATGCACAAAAACGCTGTAGAAGTGAATATTGTCTAAATGTTTGTATTCCTCCTTGAATCTTGGGTGTCCTTCGAGCACTTCTTACAGATCAGTGCAGTAATCCCGTGTAAAGCTTTGAATCACTTTAAAGTGCTCATTCAGATGGATGTGCACGCACATAAAATGACCCGATTCAGGAAGGGACAGGGTGCAATTACATGCAGCACCCCGTTCTTCCCTACGGAAGGATGCATGCCTTGCTGGAGAAGAAGCTGTACCCAAGGACCTGCAGTGACAGGATCTCCCTTCTGCTTCATTTCACACCTGCTGGTTCTACTGCGCCCCACCAGTCTTTAGTGGGCAGCTCTGACACAAGGAAGCAAAATCCGACCACTACCAAGACAGCTGTCTCCACACAGAACAAGGCAAAGCAAGTCAATAATGGGGAGGAGAGGAAATCGGCTGACGGGAGCCTACAATACTACTGGTGACAAGTTATTTGGGGTAAAAGGGACACTACGCTCAGGAGTTAAATCTAAAAATACATTCAAGTACCTTATTAACAAAAATGTATCTTCTTTGTGTATCACTCAGCTGTAGATCCTCCAATCCTCTCTGACTTGGTGCCGACACTGTCCTTCCTTCTGGACGGGGGCTTCTTTTGTTCCCCATGGTTCCTGTGTGTGTTGTAAAGTAGTCACCGCTCCAAGCTAGCGCCTGGGATGGACTACAATCTCATGTTTAGTTTACTGATTTGTATTGAGATTGTAGTCCATCCCGGGAGTGAGCTTGGAGCGGTGACTACTTTACAACACACACAGGAACCATGGGGAACAAAAGAAGCCCCCGTCCAGAAGGAAGGACAGTGTCGGCACCAAGTCAGAGAGGATTGGAGGATCTACAGCCGAGTGATACACAAATAAGATACATTTTAGTTAAAGCTTACCTTACCTATTAACTCCCGGTGTCACTTTAGGTAAGGGGGGGTTCACTATGAAAATACATTTTTGTCAGAGCATTGATACTTTTTAATTCGTATTATATAATAAAAAGATTTCTCCTACCTGTTCGTAAAAATAAAGCGCCCTCTCAAAGTTCTTTAGCCCCGTGTAGATCATGCCCCCATAGTAGTAGTAACACAGGAAGGGCCTGGCATCGTAAGCACCGTTTTCTTTACAGATGTCCATCATATCTACGTCTAAATAAGCAAGAGCCGGCTTAAAGCATTTTGCTAACAAACAAAGCTGTAAGGATGAGAAGGAAAAACAGCATTAGATTCTAGCAACACATACACATTGCTCAGTTTATTTCACACCAAATTGAACTACAAATTGTGTTTTCAGTAGCATTGGTTAGGGTCCCTTTTTGCTTATTTACACAGTTGTCCCCATATAAAATCAAGTGTTTTAACCCTTTGCTGCCAAAGCCGTTTTTGAACACATAATGCACATTTTCTGCCTGAAAATGTTTGCACATATTATAATACACATTTTAGACCCCTAATGTCACCTATGCAGCTGATTGAAGTTGACCAAGTACAGATTATGCTTGATCAGCTTCTCCCCAGGCTTCTCTGCAAGGGGGGGATAGCACATGTGTACGGGCCACTGGAAACAATCATGCGGCGTTACAGGCACCAGTGTAAATCAGAGTCGGCTTTACACAGGTAAACAGACTCCCAGTGGCTGTGTACAGGGGTTCACTGCCAACATATGACATACATCCGTGGCAGTGAAAGGGTTAAAAGCAGCCACACCAACTCAGTGACAAGGTTATTCAAGGTGCTCCCCAAGCCTTAAAAGGAGAACTATGAGGTGAGTGCTTTTCACTCACCTCATAGTTCTAGCCGACCTGTGACAATGAGACTGTCACAGGTCGGCTCAGTAGGTGGAGAAGTGAGTGAACACATACCGGCGTTCGCTCACCTCTTGATCCTGTCACGCCTCTCTGCCGTGACAGGGGAGGGGCTGGATTCCCCCCTCCCCGCCAGCGCTGACTGGCGGAACGGACGGGGCGGGTACAGCTGGCTCTGCCTTTAGATAGGCAGAGACAGCTGTCGGTCACGCAGCTGGGCGTATCCCGGCATAATTGTCGGCATCCGCGTCTCAGTATACCGCGAGCAGCAGCTCGCGGTATACTGCGGCGTCTCAGTATACCGCGAGCTACGGCTCGCGATATACTGAACCTAGAGTGACATGAGGACGCTAGTTTGTGTCCTCCCGTTACCCTAAGGAGAACTATGGGAAAAATCCTTAACCCCATAGTTCTCCTTTAAAACACTGGGCAAAAGTTAAAGATCTGTACCGGAGTCTGACTACATGTCCAGCTCTCAGAATAATCTATAGAAAATAAATTTACGTAATCTAGACATTGGACAGTGACAAGGCCAATATTATCACGTGCTAGTAAAGGGGTCCTGATTTTTCTGTTTTGCAGTTCAGTAACACTTACAGGACTTGTCCCTCCCCTAGTTTGTGACTGGACAGAGAAAGAAGCAGCAGACTGATTATCTCATCTGTCACTTTGCTTTCTCCTATCAGCAGGTTTCTGCAGCACAACTGACTGGCTCCTTGGTTCTGCTTCATGCCCTCCTAGTTTACGCTCAGCTCTACATGGACCACAATAAGCTGATAAATCAAAATCTGTTTTATGTCTGCCTGGGGTTCAGCATTACAAAAAAGGATATTAAAGCCATGCGGTGACTCTGCATCCTTACCTGGCAAAGATCTGCATGAATTGAGGTCAGTTGATTCGTATTCATTTGCATCTTGTCTATGGCTTGTCTGAGAACACAGATTCCTCTCAGGGGCTGTCACGGATTGAAGCAATAAAAAAAATAAAAGTTAAATACTTTTGTAACAAAACATCACATTCCGTCCTCTTCCCAACATCTAAGGTCCCACTTACACTAGCCCGTAGACTAAAACTGAACATTTTAAAAAGCAGGCTAGTGTGTTGACTGCTTGGGCAGAGTGAGTTGTATATTACACGCGGCTAAATCTGTCAAGGTTTACAGCCAGAACACAGATGGGGTAAAAGCCTTAAAAACAGTGCGCTGCAGAAATATGCAGTATGTTCACATTTTAGCACAGCCTACCGCCCATTGCAACAATTTCTATGCCCTAGCGCTAATCTCTGCAGAAAATTGCAGATCACTGATATAGTGTGAACGGGTCTTACAAACAGGCTTGGCATCAATAAAATGGATGATACTGGGAATATACTAGTACGGTTTTATTTATCCAACTCAGTTATAGTTACACACACATATTCAGTTACAATTTCAGATCATGCCCTATGCAGGCCGAGAGAAAAAAAAAGACAGCAGCAAATCACCTCACCTGTTTTCGCTCCACAAGTGCATTTGTTAACTGATGGCATAGACCAGCAACTGTGTGAGAAAAAGACAAGAAAAGGAATAAAAAACATTTAACGTCAAACATGTGTTAAAGTGATACTAAATTTAGGAGTTAAAACTAAAAAATGTATTGAAGTACTTCAACTATTAAAAAAGTATCTTATTTGTGTATCACTCGGCTGTAGATCCTCAAGTCTCTGAATTGGTGCTGACACTGTCCTTCCTTCTGTAGGGTGGCTACTTTTGTTCCCCATTGTCCCTGTGTGTGTTGTAAAGTAGCAACCGCTCCAAGCTCACTCCCGGGATGGACTACAATCTCAATACAAATCAGTAAACTAAACATGAGATTGTAGTTCATCCCAGGAGCTAGCTTGGAGCGGTGACTACTTTACAACACACACAGGGAGCATGGAGAACACAAGTAGCCCCCCTCTAGAAGGAAGGACGGTGTCAGCACCAATTCAGAGACTTGAGGATCTACAGCCGAGTGATACACAAATAAGATGCATTGTTAATAGATGGGGTACTTAAATGCATGATTAAGATTTAAATCCTGAGTTTAGAGTCATTGTAAAATACAACTTCACAGAGCAATACGTACAGGTGTCTGTAGCGTATCTAATGTGTTCTCCGTTGCAAGTGCTGATAAAGAGCTGGACTTGAGAAAACAAGGTCTCAAAATCAGGAATACTGGGCATGGAAAACTTCACAAATCTGAAAAAGATAAAAAGGGGCAAAAGATCAGGACAAAAATTCATCACGTGACAGTTTTATCGCTTTTAGTAAAAGAGTAGGGAATTTTTGCTTGCTTTTACCTCATTCACCAAGCGAAAATTCCAAATGACATCCAAGTCACAATGTCCCCATGGAACTTAATGAAACGTCATTTGTGACATTTCAATAAAGTTCTAACAAAAACAAAAGTAAACAGTACAAAGCACCACGATGGTCACAAGCACTGTGTGGGGCAACGCACACCAGTAGCTGTGCGGTTGGTGTAAATGGGCTGTTAGGGTAGTCTGCAGGGATGATTTTTAAGCCATGGTGCCCACAATGCAGCCCGGCACGTCCGGGGGGGTTCTTACTGTAATGACAGAGCAATGCTAGGTGCCAACTGAGACAAATGCTGGGGGGTAACTACAGTGACCGACAATGAATGGAGCTATTGAGGCGACTTCTTACACCAATTATTGCGGCGACAGAAGCCAATGCTGGGGGTTATATTAGAGGAAGTTCACGCCAACAACTATTCTTACAGTGAGTGGGACCAATTCTGGAGATTATTGTTGAGGC